AGTGTAGGTTAGATTTTTGTACAATTATTGTACATCTTAGTTTATATACAAATTAGTTTATGATTGGAGATATGTTTTTTCTGTTTTTAATGTTTATTTATAGTTTATGTTTGATATATTATAAGATATTATTGAAAAAGCATACACTGATTTATGTTTTATTTTATTTTTCGTGTATATGTATGGTTTATATTAAGTATATTCTCAGTATACGATAAAGAAATTTATCACTAGACAAAGCATAAACTTTTTTTTTTCTTTTTTTTTTTGGTATGTGTATGGTATATATTCAATATATTTTCGATATATGATAAAGAAATTTATCGCGAGACATAAACTGAATATATACTAACATATACTAATTATATACCATCTGACAACTGCGTGAATTAAAGAATTCCAGCTGCGCACATATACTGAATATATACTAACATATACTCAATATATACCACCTGAGCTGCGTGAATTAAAGAATTTCAGTTGCGCGGAATTAAATGAGTTAGTTATTTATTATAGACATATTTTTTTCATTTCTCTCTCTTAATCAATTCCATAAAAAAAAGGGATGGATGTTGAAGATTATAGTAACTGAATTTAAACATTAATGTTACTTATTATCTATTAGGTAGGTTTGTAATTATTTGTTTATGATTGTATATTTGCAATATTTTTAGAATCATGTAGGATAGATGAAAATTTCCCTTTCATTTTCTTGTATTTAGTCTGTTGGTTAATCGAACAACGTATCTCTTTGGGGTAGTTGATAATATATTTGATGTTTGAAAAAAAAAAAACTTAATTTTCGAGAGAGTGATTTAATTAAAATATCTGTCATGTGCATAACATGGACTACATATTAGTTTTGTTACAATGGTTATTTTGGATAGAAAACAAAAATTTTGGGACTAAAGACATTGGTGTTCAAGGTTCGTGTAGACATTGCCAAGCCCCATTCCTCATGACCGTTTAGTCTTGCAATTCCAAGACAAGGCCATCTTTCAGGCCTTTATCATGTCTCAGTCATGGGATTAGCATAGGATTATTCTAACTATAACCCAACCTTAATGTTTTGTGTCAATTGTCTTGTATCCGAAGATGACTTATTTATTAGAGATAATTATGCCACTAACGATCCCCTATTTTTATTGCATTTCTACGACCCCTTTAGCATTATTAGCAAACATATCAAAACTCAAATCTTTATTTGCATAATATCATATTTGTTTCCTTCTTTTTTTTTTTTTTTT